AAACTAATAAAATTAGAAAAGAATATGCTTGGAATATTTTTTAGAGGAGAATTATAGAGGGAATGGGTTGAAGTTGTGGCACTGTTGAAACTGTAAACTAGTGGGATTTTACTGTGGAAACTGTAAAAATGAAGAGTATGGTTGGAGCCAGTAACGTTACCCTACCCACGGTGGACACATGTTAATATGCCAACCGCTTATGTGGCATGCCGACATTGGTGATGTTAATATGCCACATAAGCGGTGAGTATATTAACATGTACCCACCGTGGGTAGGGGAGAAATAATATGTACAGTGAATTTTTTATGTAAAGTTTCAAACTAAAATATCCGTAAAAATTAAGAAAATGACATTATAGGACCAAAATATACAGTAATGCTCCCCTATCCACGGTGGACACATGTTAATATCAATACAAGAAAATAGAGTTGTAGTGAAGAATTTTTTTGTCACTATATCTACATTTGTTGTCATATATCAACTGTCACTATATCTACAATTATTATCACTATATCTACGATTGTTGTAGATATAGTGACAGTAGATATAGTGACAACATAGTGACAACAAAATTCTTCACTAGAACTCTATTTTCTTCTAGTGTATGTCAACTGCTCATGTGACATGCACACATTGGTGACCTATTTTTTTTTTTGAACATATTAACATCACCAATGTGTATATGCTACATAAACAGTGGACATATTAACATGTGTCCGGAATGGGCAGGGGATCATTACTCCTAAAATATATATGTGAAAATTACTATTAAAAGGAACAGAGGGAAGTAGAATGGAGTAGAAGAGCACCGAGGAAGGCTAGATCAGGCAGATACAGACTGTGAAACAAATTCCGCCGATCGGTGAAGATGAGAGGCTCGAGAAAGTCGTTCATTAAGAGACCCGCTCTCCTCCATCTTCTCTGTGCCGCCGCCGTCTTCTCTCTCTTCTTTTTCGTCTTTCAGTTCTCTTCCTCGCCCGGTACCGTCCTGCCCTCTGCTCCATTGTCTTCTACATTTTCATCGCTCCATCTCTTTCTAATATGCTCTTCATATCTCCCAGGAAACAGCCGAATCACAGATGTTAACAAAGTCGATGTTCGGATACTGTCCGATTTCCAGTCTGACGTTCAGCAATGCGTGGTCAGTATCTCTCTCTCGATATGTTGTGCCGTATTGTTCTCATAAGATCTGCATTAGCGAGTTAAGTTAGTCGGGTTCTTGTGCGTGTGGTAAGTTTGATTTTGGTTCGCGGATGTTGCTTGTAGGCAAACAGAGGTCTTGGACTGGCTGCCCAGATAATAGATCACTGCAATCTGATTCTCAAATTTCCTGAAGGAACTAATAGCACTTGGGTAGGTCTCTTATTCTCTTACTCAATCCTGCCTTCGAAGCTCGTATGATTTGTAACTGGCCTTGTGTATCTAATTGCAGTACAATGAGCAATTTAAAATATTTGAGCCATTGGAGTATAAGTATGATGTTTGTGAAGCACTACTGTTGTGGGAGCAGGTTTGTTATCGAGTTCACCTTTCGGAGTAGTTTTCTTTCTTGCGCATTGAATAAACGACTTAATTATCTGAAATGCAGTATCGTAATATGACTACAGTGTTAACAAGAGAGTATTTGGATGCAAGGCCTGATGGTTGGCTAGACTATGCTCCAAAGAGGATAGCACAGCTGTACGTTAATGGCCTTATTTTGTTTGCTGAAACTGTGCTGTGATTTCATATTCTCCCCCCCAAACGTAGTTTACCAGAAACAGTACCTTGTGCATTTATTTTGTTTGCTTCCTTTGTTACTGTAGAGGAGCAAAGAAATGTTACAATAAGACTCTTTGCGAGGAACATCTTAATGTGCTTTTACCAGCAAAGCCACCTTTCCATCCACGCCAGTTTCATACTTGTGCCGTGGTTGGAAATTCAGGAGATCTCTTAAAGACAGAATTTGGAAAGGAAATTGACAGTCATGACGCAGTTATCAGAGACAATGAGGCCCCCGTTAATGAGGTAAACAAGAATACTATTGCTCTTTCTCTGGTTGCCGATAACTCGTGTTCCATATGGAGGGGCTATAGGATAACTCGTGAGAGATTCATAATAGCCACTTAAATTGAAATTCTTTTAATGTGGATGGTTAACCTGGTAATTGGGGTGTTTTGGGTTCTGTTTGTACCTTAGATCTGGACTGTGCGGAACCAATCTTTGTTGCATTATAATTGTTATTAGGCCTAGGTAGTATCAAATTTTGGTACACTGCTTTGTCATATGCAATCATTCTAGTACCTAGTAAGTTTGATTTTGATTTTTGTAATCTGTTGTCTGGATGTGGATTTTCCAAATTTAAATAGGATGCTGTTTTTTCTCCATCTTGTACAGAAATATGCCAAATATGTTGGTCTGAAGAGAGATTTCCGCCTCGTAGTCAGGGGTGCCGCACGGAATATGATTAAGATTCTCAATGGGTCAGGTAAACATCGTCTCCATGTAATATATGTTTGTTTCCATGTAATATATGTTTGTTCATTTCTCTTCCTCAATCACCCTTCCTGAATATTCCTTTCGAGTAATGTTTGCTTGACACTCAGTTATTTTGGTGCAGATGATGAAGTGCTTATAATCAAAAGCCTCACTCATAGAGATTTTAATGAAATGATAAAGGTAGGTATCCTGGAGTGGTGATAAATTGTATAATTCGTATGTGTGGCTCTAAGAGGACATTAAATCTGTTGGTTTATTATATATTCCGTTGGATGATGTTCCTTATTATTCCATCTGAACAATGCAGAGGATCCCGAATCCCGTTTATCTATTCCAAGGTATAGTGCTGCGTAGAGGTGCCAAAGGAACGGGGATGAAATCAATTGAACTTGCTCTTTCCATGTGTGACGTAGTCAACATTTACGGTTTCACCGTTGATCCTGGATATACTGAGTGGTTAGTTCAATTTCTCTTTATTCTGCTGTCATACTTAGGGAATTTTCTCCTCGCAACTTGATTTTTGGGAATGGTTCAGGACTAGGTACTTCTCAGAGCCGAGGAAAGGACACAATCCACTTCAAGGAAGAGCATACTACCAACTTCTAGAGTGCCTTGGTGTTAGTATCGTTTTGTTGTCGTGTCTCTTGTCTATATTGCCATGGCAAATTTTATTTGCTTATTTAGAGAAATAAATGAACCTGTCAGGTAATTCGTATCCATTCACCAATGAGAGCTGAGAGGAAGCAGGACTGGTCAGATGTACCGAGTCGAGAAAAAATAAGCAGGGCTCACTCAGCTGTTGTACGGCTAAAGAAGAATCAAGCTGGCCAACAAGGTGATTTGGGGCAATTTCGTAATTGTAAAGTGTGGGGACAATCAGGGCCTTATGGTAGCGGGGCTGTGTCCGGTTCACCAGATATAAGCAGTGTGAGAAAGAATTCGAATTACAGCAAGTGGGAGACAATGCCTTACGAGAAATTAAGTAAAGGGGCACAAAAATATTACACTCAGATGGAAGGTGTATCAATGTATAAGATGGATGGCAATAAATTGGATGATCTAGTTTGCGTGAGGCATTCTTTAAAATCTCAAGTGTGATGGTGTATGCTGGAGGTGTGTATGTTTTTTGGGATCTCCAGTTATTGGAGACGGCGTACTGTGACTAATTGCCATCCATCCATTGACCACAGTAATGCCGCTTGTTATGCTTCTTTGGGACTTTCATGTGATGACTTGTCAATGAAATTTAGGACCATACCATCAATGTATTTATGACAAACCAGATGTTTCTATTTAGACATGTCTGTATTTGAGAATACTTAAATTCCAATATTTGCTGGCAAATTTTCCTGACAAACTCAAGTATGATAATAAATTTCCATGATATATTTCTTTCTTGTTCTATTTTTCCTTTTTTTTTTGGTTCTTTTTCTCTTTCTTGTTTCCCTTTTAGCATTTTTCCAGCAGATGTGAAACAGAGACTTGTTCGGCGGGCGTGCATCCAGAAGTGAAGCTGAATGCTAGACCAGAGGCTGTCGAGAGGGAGTGCGTAACGTACATGGATTACACAGATCCCAGGAGTACGTAAGGATTTTTGGTTTAACAAGTTTGCATGCTGCTTGTGTATTTAGCATATGTCACTCATTATTCCCTAGCCAATTGTAGTCAAGAGTAAACTGATAATGTACTAATGCAGGTTGCTGCAATGTTCTTGGAGGAGAATTAGCGGGCATACCAAACCGGACTTTGCTAGAACAAGATAATGATGTTTTTGTGTGCCATGATAAATTACAGCATAGCATAGTTTTTCTATGTAATGCATCCATCCATAATGTATTCCCACATCACCCCCACAGTTAATGGTATTCAGATTATACAGTTCTGTCTAGAAAAGAACAAAATCTCTCTTTATCTGCTGTTGTGAACAAGATTGAGAAAAAGGGATGTTGGGGGAAAAAGGCCGAAGCTTTATCGTTTATGGAGGAAAAGGTCGAGGCCTTGCCGAAAAATACGCGAGTTGCAGATGAAGGCCTCTCTCTCTCTCTCTCTCTCTCTCTCTCTCTCTCTCTCTCTCTCTCTCTCATCAATCATCAAAATTACTTTGCAGAAAAAAATTCCAAAAAATTATAAAAATATTCAGAACAAGAAATCCCATAACAACTGCCTCTCCTTACCTCAGCAAAAAATGGATACTTCCACCAGGGCTCTCTACTACAGTACTGCAACTCAACCTATTTAAAAATGAAATCGTATGTTGTTTTTCTTTTTTTTTTTGGGGATACACTTGATCTTAAAAGAATGATTGAATGATGGATTGAGCGTTTTTCATGGGCATAAATGGATGTCCCAGTACAAAAACAATGATGCAGCGAACACTCCATGAATACTTCCACCAGGGCTCTCTACTACAGTACTGCAACTCAACCTATTTAAAAATGAAATCGTATGTTGTTTTTCTTTTTTTTTTTTGGGATACACTTGATCTTAAAAGAATGATCGAAGATTTTGGCGTATTATTCCATCATATCGAACCATTCCTAGAACTATGTCCCGATACAAGTTCCGTAAGATCGCTCTCAAAGAAAGCCGCGTGAAGAGCCCTAACACATTCTTCAGATTCACTGTCGTTGACAATAAATGAAATGTTCACTTTCGAGGCACCTTGAGATATCATCTGGACATTCACTCCATTTGTCCGGAGAACATGAAAAGTCTGCCTCATCACATAACAACAAATACAAAGCTCAGTACTTACAAAAATCACAGGCATCTTGCAACTCAATTAAACATCAAGTTTTGGCTTTTTCAGGCAAAATTAACGCATTCATCTTTAACATGTTTTCTTGTTGGTGCTTATTAGTTATTATATCTATAACTTCAAACACAATATATATATACACATCAAGGAATATATTGACTTTCAACTGCGTAACAATTTAGAGGGTACAAAGAAAATTAGCCATAAGCATGCACCTTCTCTAGTATCAGTGAGGATCTCTGAACATTCCCAATGAGCGAGATGATAGATCTGTTCTGTAAAAGATTTACGACTGCAATTTTTTCAAGTTCTTCAACCATATGATCCAGTTCCTGATCAAGATGTCAGAAGTCAGGTTAAAAACACTTTATCAAGAAGCTGGAGCCACATGCAACAGATGAAAGACCTCTCTCTAGCATTTACATTTTCATAAACTTAATGCATAATAATGGAAAGCTGAAGTCTGATGTCGTACACTTGCCTGCTGGATCAGCTCTCGGCTCCAAAGCTTTGAAGGGTCTAATGTCAAGGAGATGCTCACCTCACTGGTTGCTACCACATCTACAGATATGCCTAAATCCTCAAAAGTTGAGAAAACCTGAAATGACCCCATATTGAGTCAGCATTAGGAAACTGTTGGATACAATCATACGAGCTCACGTCTGATTATCTGCATGATTCACCTTAGCAAGAAACCCATATTGGCCTAGCATTCTAGTGCTGACAATATCCAACATTGTGACATTTCGTTTCAAAACAATGCTAGTAAGTACTGCCTGAAAGAGGGAAAAGAGAAATGTTAAGTGTATTAATAAGAAAAAAAAAAAAAAAAATATTTGTTTTATAAAAACCATGACGCCAACCTGGCTCATATCTCTTGCTCGAGTAATAAGGGTTCCTGGAGCTTTAGGATTATAAGAGTTCTTCACTCGAACAGGAATGTCACCCTCTCTGGCGGGTCTCATGGACTGAGGATGGAGAACCTTTTCAAACCAAAGAAAAACATAGATACTGTAAGAACAATACTTCAAGCAGAGAGAGCGAGAGAGCACTCCTACTACTCAGTTCCCCAAGCAACGAACAACAAGTATGCAGCTTTGTACGTCACATACACCATATTATTAATCAATTTCCCAAAACCCAAATAGAAATAACTAACAAGTAGAATATTTTTTGCATGGTTATGATTATGAAATGGGTATTAGAACAGGTATTATGTACCTTTTCACAATTAATCTAGTACGTTAAAGCCACAATGTAACTTGGTAAACCAAATTTCACATTCCACTTAGCTTTTTGTGAGCTACAGAACATCAAAGAATAACGTAAAACGAATACCGTAGAAAACACATATACACTTCGCAAACATGCAAATTATACCTGAGCGCCAAAATAAGCAAGTTCAGCTGCCTCATCGAAAGTCAGATAGGGCACTGGCTCCGCCCCAGGATATATGTTAGGATCACAAGTTAAAACACCATCTACATCTTTCCACACCTAAAAAATTTATACACCAAGATATAATATGTTAGGATCACTAGGTCACCATGCAACTAACACATGAATCGTGAACATATGATGAGACTGACTAAATGCATGTAAAATAACATGTAATACGTGGAATGAATGGGAAGTGATTTTATTCGTGCATATACATATGTACAGTAAAAAGAGCATGGAGAGTAAATATTCACTTACTTGAATTTCCCTCAACCCCAAAGCTTTACCAATTGTTGTGGCAGTCAAATCACTACCACCCCTTCCCAATGTAGTGACAGCACAACTTTTCCAGCCCTACAATCAGAAGTACTTTAGGGCACAAAATCATGATTTTAAATGAAATCAAATACAAGGAAATGGTTAGATGAGGCTGAACATTGGGCTCCATAAAAGGCCAACCTTCCCGAGGAACCCGGTAACAATAGGAATTGCAGGATCACTATTCCAATCTCCACACAACCTCTTTGCAACAGCTGGATAAGTCGCTTCCAAAATGTCCGCATTTGTAAAATCATCAGTAGTGATAATACCCATTTCAAAGGCATCATACTGCGAATGAAAATAAAACTTGCATCGTTGAGAGAAAGAAGCACCTTGAATTTACAAAATATTTCATAAACAACATGTATCCTCAACATATGATTGATGTTCTCTTCATTTACTCGTCAATGTTTGCACTCATAAATTACTTTCACCACAACTGAGTGATTCTTATACATCAGTAAGGATAGATAATATATTATGAAGATCAAAATATTTGTAGGAAGACAGAAGTATACTTGACGAGATTTGACACCAATCTTATTCATATATGCTGAAAAAATCCTAGTGGACATGCACTCGCCGAAAGAGACAAGGTAGTCCTTTGTTCTCAGAGTCATCTCTTTCATCATAGCAATCCCATTCAGAAGCTGTTCCAACTCAGAGAGGTGTTCTGTTAAAGGTCTCGGGGAAGACAAACGGAACCAGTATTAAAAAGTTTATATCGATTAGGTCAGTGTTACGAAAATTTCTATTTATGATAGGACCTAATAAAGAACGAAATCCAGAAGGTACACACAAGGTACAAACAGAAAGTGAATAACACGATAAAATATACAAGCACAATAGTATTGAACACTTATCTGATTTTCCATGAATTTTATTTTTTACTTTTTTTGAAAAAAGAAATAAAAGGCAAAAAACAAAATTAACAATTACATAATATAACAGGTGAAAATGTTTACACAATATATTAAATGTACAGTAGAACACTCACTTGCAATTATAGACCTTTCTACCCCAAGCTCGTCCGCAGTACTGGTAAGGCAAGGCATTTTGGTCAGACATTTATATTCACTAGAACGGTTAAAGAATAGAATAATATAATACAAGGTTACCTCAAATGCAAATCTTTGATGAAGGTCAGTTCTTCAAGATCAGACACATTTGAAACCCCACAAGTGACCGCCTTTTCTCCAGCCTGGCACACAAACCAATACTCCCACCTCAGAAAAAAAAAAAGTCTTTTTTCGAGTATAAGGTGAACCAAACAAAAAGAACAATACCATGGGAAAGAACAACAAGTACCAGTAGGAGCTTGTTGGTTGTTTTCCCCATAGCAGAAAGAACAATGACAGGCCTCTCTTCAGGAAAGCTGCGAATAAGTTCAGCTACTTCTCTCATCCTATCTGCCGAGGCAACAGATGAGCCACCAAACTTCATAACACACGTCAGCTGATTTGCAGTTTGTTCAGATGCTTGGTCCTCGACATCATGCTTCTCGAGGACGCCGACCCTGCCAGCCACACAATTAACTCGAAGGGCCAGCTGTCCACGAGACCCATTCAGATGCGTACGTGAACCAGGAGCAGGAAGAGGGGAAACCAGGTGGCCAAGATTATGGTGTCCCCAAACAGACTGAAAGCACGAGGCTCTCTTGGAGCAACATGGATGAGATGTCACGAGTCCACGTAAGTGCAATGTGGCTGCCATGGCCGCTAACCCAAAAGGAGCCCTTAAGAATTAATGGGTGAGCAAATGACCCTAGAATCAAGAAGTTTCGACAAATGAGGAAGGCGAATTGGACTGTAAGCAGCAGAAAGAGTTGATTGCCCTCAACTCTCTCTCTCTCTCCGCCGATAACAGACCAACAAAAGCACAATCAGAACGCAAACAAACAACCTGCAAATATACATCAACGGCAAAATCAAAGAAGATCGCACTCAATTGACCATTGAACATCAAAATCAAGCACGAGCAACTACAAGAAATTAGCAAGCTATCACCTATATCATTGATTAGATTAAATAGTTCACCATCGATTATTTTTTGCTATAACAAAAGAAATGCAGGAAGAAAGTGAAGTTATAAACGAAATGTGAAAGAATAACTAACCTGTTGTGTTTTTTTTTTTTTTTTTTTGCGATTAAACCTGTTGGGTTGAGGATGGTGAAGAAGGGAATGTGAGAGCTCAAGATGGGGGCGGCGCGCTGTCGGAGAGAGGCTGCACGTTTATATTTAAGGAAAATGTATACGGCAACCGCATAATTTTTTCAGGGCTTTCTGTGTTAGTTATTTTTCAACGGTGTAGATTAAAATATAGAATCTCGAGGGGAGGATCAATTCATTAGTTTTAGGTCTAATTGTCGGTCAAATCATGACCTTACAACATTTTGTCGTTTTAACTAAATTTTTGCAATTTAGCAAACATAACATAACCTTATCTATTTTTGGCAATCACCGGGCCGAATAACCTTGTCTATTTTTGGCAATCACCGGGCCCAGTTTCGGGCTTTGTCTGTAGTGGCGATAATAACATAACCTTGTCTATTTTTGACAATTCGAATTACCGGGCCGAATTTCAGGAGCGACGCTGTGGTTCGAACCTAGGACCTCAAGGTTGTATTATAACAATGGAACCACTAGGCCAACCCAAATTGTTTGTTAAATTTAATAGCATTTAATATATATAGACACTCTGTATGAATAAATCAAATCAAATTTAAAATATAATGTAAATTATATTAATAAGATAAGTTATTTTATGTTAGAGTAAATTTAAATTAAATTAAATTGAATTAAATTTATATATTTCATATTTATTAAATTAAATTAAAATATTTCATAATTATTAAAAATTTAAATATAGTAATTTAATAAATAATTTGTATTATTTTTTATATAATTATTAAATAAATTATTATATTCAAATAATATTTCATTATTTTATTATATTCATTTTTAATATAATAAGTTAATAAATTATTTAAATTATTTTTAATAAATTATTAAATATAATTAAATAAAATAATTATATTTGAATATAGGAATTTAATAAATTATTTATATTATTTTTAATATAAAAATTTAATAAGTTATAAATTATAATAAACTCAAATAATATTTCTTTACTTTATTATATTCATTTAAGATTTCTATTTGTTTTAATTTATTATTTTAATTGATTTATATATTTTTCCGGTTAAATTTTCTATACTTTATTATCTAATATTATATTATTTTCATTTAATATTATATAATTTTTTTTATTATATTTTAATTATTATAAGTTTACATCTTATTAATATAATTTAAAATTTATATTAATTTTGAAATTTAATTTGATTTATTCATACATATTATCTATATATATTAAGAGTTCAAATAACATACAACTTGGATTGGTGTGGTGGTTACAATGCCATAATACAAGTTTGAGGTACCAAGTTCGAACCCCTTTTTTTTTTTTACTGGTGATGTACAAAGCCCGAAATTCGGCCCGGTGATTCGAATTGCCAAAAATAGACAAGGTTATGTTGTGTTTGTTAAATTCCAAAAGTTTGGTTAAAACGACAAAATGTTGTAAGATCATGATTTTACCGGCAATTAGGCCTTAGTTTTATACAACACCCCCGTGTAATACAAATGCAAAAAGTACACCTACTTTTACTGATGATGTACAAAGCCCGAAATTCGGCCCGGTGATTCGAATTGTCAAAAATAGACAAGGTTATGTCATGTTTGCTAAATTCCAAAAGTTTGGTTAAAACGGCAAAATGTTGTAAGGTCATGATTTTACCGGCAATTAGGCCTTAGTTTTATACAACACCCCCGTGTAATACAATTGCAAAAAGTACACCTACTAGTAGAATACAAACAACCAACGGTTGAATACAACAACCAACGACTGAATAGACTGGGAGGACAGGTCAAAAGATCGCTTAGAACCGAATCCAACAGAGTAATACACTAGAAACACAAAAAAAAAAAAAA